ACATTTCGTTTATGTATTCAAGAAAATATTAAATACACTACATTTTACAATATGGTCATTTCGAGCAATAAATCAAGTTTAGAGAACAAAAAACTTTAGCAGAAAAATTTGCATCGATATATTGTGGCACGTACGTTCACATTTGGATCACAATAAGATAAATTTCTAGAATTATTAATGAGACTGGTCATACTATGCATAAAGTCAACGTGTAAGAACAGATTTTAAGAATCAATATTGAAAGAGTTCTCTGTCAAATAACATAAAGATGAATGATTAGAAGAGGATCTTTTATATCTAAAGTTAGATTTTTAATTTAAAAAACCATGATGAAATTATTTTCAAGTATTTTAAATCTGTTTCGGCCGGCTATCAGAAGATCACCAGGAAAAATCTTCACCATTAAATTTGTAGTTTCCTCATCATGGAAATACGAAAACTATGCTCGTTGGAACAAATACGTTCTTCGGTTCTGAACGGCTTGATGTTGTTATTTGACACCATTCTTAGTTTTTATTATTCGGATTTATTGAATAATCTATCCCAGTGAGGCAATAGACAATACGTCTACGAACGAAAATTAACCACTACTTGCTTCCGAGAGAGAATACTCAGGCATACAGAAAATCAATTATTTCGAGTCGGATGCTTTCTTGATTGATTATAGTAGAACACATCCCTCTCTTCAATGAAAGGTCTTCTTTTTCTTGAGAATGCATCAATTGATGCTCATGTCTAGAGATAATTATCAAATTATAAAAAGAATTATTTATGACCACTTCAAGTCAAATCTGAAGGAAATGTTGGCAAATGGCAACATCCGGCCGGAAAGGGTGTGGGGTGTGGCTGTGGGTGGATGTGGGTGTGGGTGGGGTGTGGGTGAGGGTGTGGGCGGGTGTGGGTGGGTGTGGATGTGTAAGTATGGATGTGAACGAATAACAGATCTACACCCACACCTACACCCACATCCACATCCTCACCCACACCCCACACCCACACTCACACCCACACCCGCCCACACCCACACCCACACCCACCCACATACACCCCACACTCCACACCCACACACCCCAGATTTATACACCATTCGATAGAACTCGTCGAGTTGCATCAGACACACTGACTTTCTGCCTTCGCACTATCTTCTGTAGGATTTGTTCAATGCATTGCCGGTTTTCGCCATAGCATTGGGCCCAGTCTTTGGCTATTCCACAGCTTGAGTAAGTTCCAAATCTATTGAATTATATACCATTCGATAGAGCTCGTCGAGTTTCATAAGACACGCTTGTTTTCAGAATCGACACAATCAAGGAACTGAATATTAGTAAAAAATACTTCAGTTTTTGTTGAAAATGTATATTGGAAAACTTGTTTTTCTAGGTTTTCTTTGGTTTTATGGAGATTGAAAGGTTTTGAACTTGTGGCAATCTCTAGTATATTCGATTCTCTACAAGACACACTGATGACCTGAGTAGACACAAGTTTATGTATGAATGTTCGCTGAAAAAAGTTGAATCTGTCGCTAACTTCCCCAACGTGTTATTGGATTAGGAATCGGAATGTTAATTGATAATAGTAATGGGGCTGGGTTAAATCGAGAAATCTTTATAAGTCAAGCAACATTTGATTCCGATGGTCAAGGTTTAGTTATTCGTGATAGTAGTTATGTATCAATCATTGGTATATGGGCTGCATCATCAACAATTCATCAAGTCTTTGTTGATTATAATTCCACAGCACTTTTATCAATTAGTGAAGGAATGATATTTAATGGTGCAGTTTATGAATGTCCAAATCTTTCAAATTGGTGTAATGGTATAACAATTAATAGTGGATCATTTATTCTAAATGGTGTTGAAGTACGAAATAATCATGGTCAAGGAATATGGGTAACAAATAAATCTGTAACACAATTTCAAATAATTTCTTGTCGATTATTTGAAAATGGACAAGAAATGAATATCGATGGTACTTTATTTATTATATCAAATAATCTTTGTAATTCAAATAATTTATCAAATGTTATTTCAAATACAACATCAGCTTTAGTACAGAATAGTCTTAATTGTTAATTTAAGATTTCTACTAGGTCGTTCATCTTTTAATGTAAAATAAAAAAAAAACGTGATTACAAGGAACAATAAAATCTAATTAATCTTTTAAATAGTAGCAGATATTTCACTTTTTCCTCTACATCCTTCACATGGTAAGCTAACACCATAAGTACCTAAATAAAAGATTATATAATTAACTTATTATTAAAAGTAAATTAATGGAATACAAACATGTATCACATACACCACAATGCTATTCTCTCCAATCCATACATTCTTGACATCTAATACAATGCCATTTTAAATTTTCTTGAACTAAATAATCTTGACAAAATGAATAATAACGTCCTGTTGTATCATCATCTGCTAAAAGCATTCGAAATAATGTTTGAGCATGAGCTAATTTTTGATTATTATCAATTATTTTCAATTGCTTCATCCATTCTTCGAAGTCTTCTTCGATCTCACAAACTTCATCAAAACTAAAAGAATCAATTCGAGATAATTATAATACATAAATCAAATATTTACTTCGAACATTTGATAATAAGTTGGCACAATGCACCATGATTAATAGTTTTTAAACCATCAGTATTTTTAGCTTTTTTGACGAGCCATTTGGCAAAACAAGGATGAGCAGAATATTTTGTATTTTCACCAAAGAAATATTCCAAATGATTAAACATATTTTCACATGATGAACTACATCCACATGATGAATTACATCCACTACCAAATTTAAAACATGAACAGGAACATGTTGAACATTCTTTTGTACAAGTACATTTGTCCTTTTTTTCTTTATTTGGATTATTTTCTGTTATTTCATCGAGTGTATCTTGTTCTTCATCTTCTTCAAAATATTCGTCACTTGACATTGTTCAGTTTATCTTCTTATCTTAAATGATCTTATTAACGATTTCTATGGATCGTATACGGTATTATACAGACCACCAATTATTATAATTGGAGGACACTCGTCAACGATAATAAATTCTTTTATCGAGAGATGACGCTCGAAATTAATTCTCAAGTCAAGCATGTAGATATTCAGAAAATAGATTGATGATCTTGTTTTTATGATGCGTTTTATTATCTCTGTCAGGTAAATAATGATTCATTAAAATGTGTAGAACAATAAAAAGACTTTGTCTTTTTCTTCATTTCGAGGAATGAAATGATGAATACGTATATAAAGTCGATATGAAAGTCATTGTAACAAGTTCTTTATTAATACATTTGACAAAAGCATGGGTTCATCAACATCATCATTACCACCATCTGTCAGAAATTATCCTGTAATTATTAAAACAAAAAATGGAAAACAATTTTCTATGATGTATCATTCATTAATTGAACATATTCTTTTACTTCGAAAAGTTATTAATCATCCAGAAATGACACAAGAAGGACCGGAATTAAATTATTATATTAAAGATTATTGTAAACGAATGAGTAAAGGAAAAATGAGAACATATGATCAACAAGAAAACCTTCCATGGCAACTTGAATGGATTTGGTATGTTCACCGACTTCATCCATTGGCTTATCTAAATGATTGTAAAACAACTTTCAGGTGAACTTGTTGATAAAAAATGTCGAAAACTTATTATAGATTGTGATAAACAAGATAAATTAAAGAAATCAAAAAAAACCATTTTCATCAAACAACACTAATTTACAATTTATTCCGTCGATTGATTTAAGAAGTGCTGTTATTCGACAAAAAGATTTTAATGGTAGTATTCGTAAAAATAATGAGCGTTAGTAATCATGAGTTGTCGTCAATCGCTTGCTGGCACTGAGTAAAGATTGATTTTTAAAACAATAAACTTTGTTGCAGAATGACATTTCAGATTTCCATTCTTTAGTGTTTATATTTGGATATAATATATGGGCGTGAACAGTCAGTGGGATACCCCAACTTTTTTTTGTACGTGTAGCTTCTATAATATATCGAAAAAATATGATTTTTGTATCAGTTATAGTACTCATACAATGGTGATGATTTATCAAGAACAAAGGTCTATATCTCTATATCTTGTTTGAAATCAAAATAATCAAGTGTCTTCAAAAAAACCGTTTGGCATTTACGAACAGGCTTTTTGAAGACACTTGATTATTTTGATTTCAAACAAGATATAGAGATATAGACCCTTGTTCTTGGCAGATCATCACCATTATATAAGTACTATAACTGGTACAAAAATCATATTTTTTCGATATATTGTAGAGGCTACATGTACAAAAAAAAGAGTTGGGGTATCCCACTGACTGTTCTCGCCCATATATTTTAGTATGGCTGTAGAAATGTTTCAGTTGGACAGTTTATAAACTACAAAAAAAATAATACATAAACAACGCTTGTTGCTGTTTTGAATAGCACTCTAGAAACTTTTAAATGCTCAAACCCTTCTTTTTAACGATGAAAACATTGTTTTTGGAACAAAATACTTGTTCGAACGTGTAATTAATACCTCTGAACTACCAAGAAGCCAACTTCACACTAAAAGATTATCGTTTCCTAGAAAATCCACCAAAATAGGTCTCCAAGATCAATTCGGAAACCGAATAGTTTTCCGATTTTGTTACTATCTGAAGCCTTTTAAGAGTTTCCGAGCACTCGAAGACCTACTTTTTTTATCTTGAAAACCTTGTAAAGGTTTCCGAGATCAATTCTCAAACATAATTTGGTTCCAGAATGTTAGGAAACGCATTTCGATGGATTTTCTAATACTAGAAATTGAAAATCCACGCAGAGTTTTAATGGAACATATTGATCTTTTGATGTTATAAATCATATCGTATTGAACCAAATTCTAGTAGATACAATCTTGGGTGGGTGTGGGTGTGGATCTTCTCTTCACCCACATCCACATCCACACCCACACCCACACCCACCCACACCCACACCCACACCCCACACCCACACCCCACACCCACACCCACACCCACACCCACCCACACCTACACCCACACCCACCCACACCCCACCCACCCACACCCACACCCACACCCACACCCACCCTGTAAGCAACGTGACACAGTACGAATATTTTTTTAAATTGAAGATGAAGTTCAGACTTAATTTTAAGGAGCACAAATCTTTTTCTTTTTGGTAATCGCGACATGATGGAAAAACAAACGTTTTTGTTGTGGAGACAGAAGGAGATCTCTAAAACAACCAGTTTTTAACAGGCACTTTTGTTTGAAGTTTGATGTTGCTAAAAATTTCACCATAGATGTAGTTTGTGATATAGAGCCTATCCCAAAATTCTTAGATTTTTCTGTCAAAAGTTT